CCCATTCACATACTTCACCTTACCTACCCGAGCTGTTCAGATATATCATCTCCATAGATTTTCCATGTAGAAAAAGTATGTCCCTTGAGAGTAAATGCAACATGAGAAGAGCTACATCTGATTACTAGTGAAATCTGTGTAAACTGGTATAATTACTGATTACATTTAACCAAGAGGACTGGACAACTGTTGCATTTTAGATTTCAACTCTTTTACCTTTGGTCCTGCTCCCTTGTATTCAGACATGGAATGCAGCACAAGAACGTCCAAAATTCAGACTGAAAGGAGCTCCCACTACTATCAGTGTTATCATGTGTTGCCAGTACATTCCATTTCTCTTTGGAGGTGGTCTGTCTTCAACTCTCTTGATAGCTAACACTGCCACCAGGAATTTTAATACCAACCTTATTAACCTCCCACACTACTGTGCCCAAGCTGTAAGGTTCCTTCATTGGGCTATGTGGTCCTGAGGATGAGATTCTGATATTCCAACAGCCTATGACACGGAGTTAACAATAAAGAAAATAGAACTTTATCTGTACAATAAGCATTTCAAGATGTTCAGTAATTCCCTTGGTAAATAAAACAATGTATAACAACTGAGGCATCTCACTCTTTCCCCTCACAATCATCATAAAGATCCTCACTTCTCTCCTGTACTCAGGTTTCTGTCAGCTTCTATCTTACACACCCTTATATTTGACAATATTAGGTTCTGACTCTCCCTAGTCACTCTAACTGTTCTGCTTCCGAATCTCAAATGCTTTTTACACTTCTATGTAGGGTTCTAACAATAAAGCTGCCTCTTCAGATTCTGCAGCCTAAGGACTAACCACAACTCTTGCCTACTGCTGACAGACCACAACTGACTGTAAAAATATCTATTTCAATCTATAAATAATTGGTCCCCCTACCCCCATAGCTTTGTCACATAATCCTCACTTCCTTACCTAAATCTTGATTGATCTGTGCAGGGTTTAACAAGTATCCGTCACTGCAGAATTAGACAGTTAAAATATTGCTCTGTGCTAGTTTTCTTCCCTTTTAGTATAGCTTTTCAAACAGGAACCTTGCTTGATAGTATGATTTGCTATCAAGGACTTTTCTTCCACGTATCCCCATGTAATATGAATCTCAGTAACATAGGAGGATAAAAAGATAAAGTAACCTGGGTTCTTTCCAGTGGTGACCAGAAAACTTTACTGGGAGTTGTTTCCCTCCCAGGAAAACAAGCAAGCTTTATTTGAGGAAAACTTGCCTGTAACCCACTTGCCCTAGGTTTAGAGTAAATTGAGTGCTACTAACATAGAGGATAGTTAACAGGATCAGCTTGGCCAGGCCTAATGTATATTACAGGGGTGGCCAAACTGAGGCTCGGGTGCTCTTTTGAGTTTGTGGCTCTCACAGGGCACAAAAAGGCCGAACACAACTTCTAAGCTGAGCAGCCCAGCCCATGCAGCAGGGGATGAGTTGAGTCTCCTGCTGTGATAATTGTGGTGCTTCAATCATGTGAATTCAACAGACCTAATTTGTACAGCCTTGACAACATATCAACCACATTTTCAACAGCTCACAGCCAAGAAGACTCACAAGACCTCTACCAGTAATTGGAGCCTGTTAATTGCAGCAGTTTGTTTGGTCATAATAAATATGTAACAATAAAAAACTCAGTATTTGTTCATGTCTTTCAGCTCTCAAACATCTGAAATTTACTGTATGTGGCTCTTCCACTGAACTAGTCTGGCCACTCCGGTATATAACCCATGCTGCTTCAGTGTTATGACCACAATATTGCTATGTGAATCTCAAATTGTAATCTCAATTTATATCAACTTACTAAGATTGAATATACTTGCAGCCTACCCTGATAAAGCCAAATTACAAGCCTTGTTTTAATAATCTAATCTGTGGTTTCATTTAAGATTTTGCAATCACAGCTGGATCACTTATCACATCTCACAGAACAAAATTCTTTAAGCACAAGGGCTCTTGAAAAAAGAAACCAAACAAAACTATTTTGTCATTCTTAGACAGCAACCACCCATGCTGTCACAACCTTCTAAGAGTGTGGGCTCAAGACCCAGGAGTTCTAGTCCCTGCTCAGCCATGGAGTCCAATGGATGACTTTGGGCCAGTCAGACTCTCAGCCCGACCTGGATCACAGGGTTGTTGTGGGAATAAAGCAGCAGAATAGTTAGCAGTTTTGAGTTCTTTAAAATGAAAAGGCAGGGTATAAATCTGATAAAAAATAAGATTGAAAGGATGAAGAATATTGTGCTAGCCACCCCAAGTTTCTTGAGAGAAAAAGGCAAGATATAACAAATTAATTAAAACTGAAGATACAGCTTTGCTCTTTAAAGTATGCCTAGCACTGCTTTTGAAGTCACCTTTATTACCACCAATAAAATCTGGCACTTTAAAAAGCATTTTTCATTCACTAGTTCTAGCTATAAAGTGGCATGGTTGTGAAGGTAATACTATCTCCTTTCCTTATATTTAAAGAAAGCAGTAAGACATACTGAAAGTATTTAAAAGGTGTGGATTGTGAACTGGCAACTGGCTTTAGATCATGAGTGTACAGCTCCCTAAAAAGTCTATAACCTATGGCAGTTGTTTCACACATTCTACCGATATGGAATGATGGAAAAAAGTACATGCAGAATTAAGCTAAATATGTGGGGCAAAAATCATAATCCATTGTGTAGTCTCTTAGGATTGTTCTACAGAAGATTGTTCTTGGAAATTATCTGCTAAACAAGCTACTGCACACCATTTTTCATGGTATTTGCACATTCACCTACTTAAATGTGAAATCATGGTTAGTGAATGTCATGGCTAAGTGCAATTTTCTTCTAGAGAATTATACAGTAAGATCACAAATGATTGTCACCACTTGTATGTAATCTACAAAAAAGGTGTGAAGTACAATGTACATTTTACTAATATATTCACTGAAATTAGAACTGTATTCCTCAAAATACAGCTTTACAGGATGGCAACCAGGAGGGGGGGAATCTTTGCAGTGGTACTCCAGTTATGAAGCAATTTCTCCACAAAGACTTACCTGTTAATCCATTTTACACCTGGTTAAGACTGCCCTTTCTTACACATTCAATGCATAAGGACTTTGATGTCAGTCGAGCTCTACTGAAAATTCTTTAGTTGCTCATTTCCCCAGTTTATATGTATTTGTTTATATTTTTATCTTTGTGTTTATGAACCACCCAGAGCTTCAACTATTAGGCCACATAGAAACATAAAAGCACACCCCTCACACTTCAATATATTAAGTGTATATAAATATATAAAAGGCCCTCAAGTTCAATATATTAGATTGTGTCAAGTAAACAGAACTTACATGTCATTTCACTTACAGAATCCCCCCCCCCCCCGGCCAATTTAAGTACAAAATCTATGAGCTGCCGGTGGACTTTACAAGCATTTGTCTTGTTAAAAGACCAGGTAAGGTGCAAGCAGTCATCACAATGCTGCAAAACCAGGAAAACATCAAGGGATGCAACCATGCAGTTGTTGCTCTTACCAAGATTATCACTCCTGAAAGATCCCTATGTGAAACTTGCCAGGTAACTCATACAGCTCTAAATGTTACAAATGGCACAAGGGTATCTCAGGTACTCTTACCCAGACCAGATTATGCTTCCATTAGAATGAATTACTGATCAAATGCCCAATTTACCAGAAGAATTTGCTGCCCCAGTATTTTGCAATCCTGTTCTATGGTGTAGTATGTTCCCTGAACATGTTTCAGACTCGTCTCCAAGGTTGAAAATGCTGTATTGCATTCTGTCCAGTTTAACAGAAGGGAAGCCCACAAATCACCAGTGAATAGGAATCTATCCCACCATAGAGTTGTGTTTAAGTGCAAGTCTATCAGGTTCTTCTACAAGGTGCCTGCAAAACCTGTACTGAGACTAAGCAGGCCTACTACCAAAGTAATGGTTTTCTGAAGTACCTATTATAGTCTGCCTCTTTAAGCTTGCAAGTTTAAACGTATATTTGTATTTAGATGTTCTGAGGTGGCTGATTGTACCCCTACTCTCCTTTTTCAACAAGGCTCACTATCCTAATGAAATGCTGCAGGCTCATATACAGGGATTTGATAGAAACATACGTGATATATATGAAATGTTTTGAGATCTGAGACTATTTTCAGTAGAATTTTACCATTCACAACTGCTCCTTCCAAAACCATTGCTTATTCAAAGTTATATTGTGTGAGTTTCCTACAACAGCTCCACTACATGGTGAGCTCTGTATGGAATGCTTTATCTACAGGCAGTGAAACTGGGCAAGAAGCCTTGAATGAAGAGTTGAATTTTCCCTTTTGCCATTCCTGCTGAAGATAAAATCCTGAACATTAGCCAACCATTTTTGGATGAACAAATACCATTTCCAATTCTAGATAAGGAAATTAAGCCAGATCTTTTCAAGTAGTATGGATTTAATCTAAATGCACAAGACCAGTCGATTTTGGGGAGTACATGACCAATGTACATTTTGGCATTCTGAGCACATGCCATGAATGACTTCTGATTTAGATTAACATTTCATGCAACATTTGTTCAATGCAGGGCATTTTAAAGCTTTGTGGACATGAGGAAGCTAAATTTTATTCTCAATTTTGAATCCCTGGATTGCAAGTTCACTTTTGGTATACATATTGAAGTATTTCATTAGTCAATGCAAAGGCTCATCTCATGCTAAGCCAAACATCACTATAACGTATTTAAATGTGCTCGAGTTCTAATATGGACCATTATCAATATAATTACCTTCAAATCAGATGTATTTCAAAAGGAGTTTTGTGTGACCATGTATGAATAATTTGGAACAGCCAATTAATCAGACATTAAACACACTGCTATTTGACTATGGCTTCTAGCTCTTCACAACTGCAGATTTGAGAAACTGTATACAAGTCTACCTGAATGTTATATTTTGCATGAAAGCATGTCAAGATACAAAAGTTAAATACTTAGAACGATTTGTAACCAAAACTTTAATCCAAGGATTTTCAAGAGTTTACAGTGACATGACAACTTATGCACAATAAAGACATACTGCATCTACAATGTACCCTTATGCATCCACGTTTACCCAACATATGGGTCCTTTTTTGGTCTGTTCAATAGTGAAACCTGATAAGCAGTCCATCTTTCAGCAATTTAAGTAGTGCTCTACTCAAAAGGTGCAGTACTTAATTTACCTTTCTTTACAACAGAGTGTAGTTCTGACTAAGCTGGTATTTCCATTAGTTTTATAATGGTCATAAGACCAGCACAGACTATTATAAATCAGAACCTGAACAATTTTAGAAAGAAGTCTACCTATACAGCTTTCACAGTCCCTTTGCTTGTTATTGGTTTTATTCTTTCCACTATTCTGACTAATCAAGCCTGCTAGTCTCACCGTGCATAGAAGGCCCATTAGGATTGTAGCAAACGCTCTTGATTAATAGTCCATGAGTGTTGAGAACTTCTTTTCACATTTAGATCCTGAGAAGCCAAAACGCAACCCAAAAGACTTAAGAACTTTTGCCACTGCATGGCTTTGAGGTTTTGTTTGGTAAGTCTATGCAAGGTAACTGGCTAATACAGAAGCAAATAAAAGTTATGCTTAAGGGTACACTGTAACGCAATGAGTTTATTACATTTCTTATGACCTGCTCAGAACCATATACAGATTCACAACTGTTACATTTGTCACCTGTTACAAGAGACAAGGAAACAAAATTTGACAGCTAAAACATCTTAAAAATGCACCAAGCTTATGAAGTCTTAACGAAAGCAATGTTCTGTACATACACCTTTCTTCAGAACTAATGTGACTTCCTGTACATTGCTCTTCCTGAAGTTCTATTTCCTGTCATTTGACCTGGAGCGGCTAGAGTAAAATATATATTAAAGATTATCAGTCAAACAATGCAAGTTGAATTCCCAATCCAATGTACTTCAGCAACATTATCTAACCTTTGTAATGCTTTCATATCTAAATAAATTTGTTGCATTTGCAATTTCAATTCAAACAATATTATATGTATTGTATTAAGAATTTAGCTTAAAGTGTGAATTTAAATTTGTCTAGCAAATACATTTTAGTTACCCTAGTATCTCAGTGCAGGGACTGCTTTTCTTACCTACGTGATCTGGAAAATGAACGGGAAGGCTTATGATTTCTCTCCCGTGATAGTGATCTCTCTCTCCTCCTATCTCTAGAAAGGGACCTGTAAGATAAATAATCAGAATTATAGGAATGCATATTAAAACTGAAGCGATTCTGGAATAAAGCAATTGTACCATTATATAGACGCATTTCAGAGACTTCAATCCTTGAATAATACAAGTATCTCTGACAATTAACTTGTAACTTTGAAATGTGTTCCCAATTAATAATTACAGCTAATGTGCAAACACATAACTGCTTTAGTTTCTATTAGAGTAATCCACAACCACTGTGGTTTCTATTTGAACAATAAAGCTTCAATGCATTAACATGTACTATGCTCTGAAATCATCTATGAACAAAGTCCATTTTACTTGGCACATTTTTATGAGAGCGTATAGTACAACACTGATACTGAATAATGATTTCAAATGCAACCTGGTAACTTCATTTTTCATAACACTCAAGGCCAGAATTTTTAAAGTTTTAAAGTGATTTTGGATTAGGCTGCACTTTGAAAAAGTGAAAAATAGGTTGGGTGTTACAGTTTAACATTTAAGTTATCCTTTGGACAACTTGAGCTACATTCAAATAATGCAATTTGGAATTTCAACTACTTCTCATCTGTATAATTTCTCTTTTATATTATTTCATCAACTTTCTGAAGCGAGGAAAGCATGCTATTCTACAGTAAATCCCTGATAAAATTCAGCACCAAAAATTTACCTGCTGCGGCTACGGGAGAAGCTTCTCCTTCGTGGAGATCTACAATCAAGAAGAGAAAAGTAAGTATTTTTATCAATTCAACACTACTGGGGTGAGGCAATTCCCAACTTGTCAAGTCACTGTTGGGCCCAGTGAATGCACCAAGATAAATGGCACCCATCGTCCAGCAAAATGGAAAGATACAGGCATTAAAGATCTTGGCGTGATCAGCATGTTTCCGATCATGAGCTTGCTTTAACTAACACCACATCATAGCAAACCTGTCCAATGCAGCACTTCCATCTCAACTAAATCCACTGCTTAGTACACTATACCAAAGTCCCACAAGTAGTTCCAAAATTCACATAAACCAGTATTTTGGAACCCATGCATGGTAGAATCCTTAAGACGACGTAAGGTACCAAGTGACAGACTAATGCACACAGTGACAATGGCATTAAATACCAATAAAACTGCATTACTTGTGAATGTAAATTTTAAACTGTCATAGTGTGTTTAGTCTAAAGAAACTTAGTTTGCCCAGTTTATCCCAAAAAATAATTGCTCAAGTCCTGAAACTGTTAGTAAAACAGTTTAAAGGTGAAAGGAGTTTGCAGATTTTGCAAGGAAGAACTAAGTTAGCAATTAAGGGTAGCTTGCCATCTCACATGCAAACATACTGCAGTTTAGTTACTTATATTAAATTTCCTTAACACCCTTAAAAGTTTTATTCAAGCAATATATGTATGTTACCACGAAATTATGCACAGCCAGCCTTTGATTGAGAAAAAATAATTACTTATAAGCCGCTTACTCCTTATTTTAACCAGCAGTAAACTGTATAAGCAGGAAAAACTTACTAGTTTTTGGTTTCAACAAGCTAGAAATGGTGAGGTGAGGCTGCCGGACTGACTGCCAAGAAGAATTTGCTGAAAAGGTTTTGCCAGATGTTGCGTTGTATTTAGTTGGTTGGCGAAGGGGGTGTTGTGGATTTTTCCTGCTTTTTTGTTAGCCGAAGGCTGCTGCTGTAGTTGTTGTGAAGACATTTGGTAAATAAACAGCTGAGCTGATTGGCCGGGAATGTGTGGGCGGTCGAGATGGCTGCTGCCGATTTGGTTAAGGTTGGAGAGAAGGCTGAGAGAAAACAGCATGCTCGGGAACCAAAGGGCGGTGCAACCTGACGACTGGCCATGCCTGGGTCATGTGAAACGACACCAGCCAAGCTGAATGGGGCGCGCTGGTCACATGACGCTGAAAGGGCTAGTTGACTGGCTAATGCAGACTCAGAGGGTGGTGAGAAGAGACATGATGGTGACTCTGTAACGGGTTCATTTTTATTAATAGATGGACCAAAAAGCATAAAAAAATGAAAAACAAGCCATCAGTACAACCATCTATTAGCTAACAAATACTCCTATTGTGTTCTACAGTGAAAGGGAATAGGTTTCACTCTATTTTATATGGACTTCATTCACCTGCAACAGGTTAAGATCAGCCTTGCAAAAATCAGGATTTAAGTACTAAAGTGAATATTTAACACCCAGCCAACTTTTCTGGGTCAGAGAATGCATCATCAAATGCAAGTCTGCTTTATTTTGAAATTTAGAATCACAGAACTCAACTGATTGAGTAATATTTCAATGGTTCTACTACTGTCAAATTTAGCTAAGTAACTTCATTGTAACTTTAGCATTCTTAAACAGTTGCCTGCCCGGCATTACTTGTGCTAAACTGGGAAAAAACCCCTTGAGTGAAAAAAGCCAAGCTGTTGTATGTAATGTTTACCAACAATGGAGTAAAGAAAAGCAAAAAACCATGTTGGAGTACTGAGAAGAAAAAGGAAGCAACTAGAAGATGAATAGACTTCAGAAGAAAAGATGATAATCCATGTTAGAGGGCACTATCAACTGGTATAGATACCTAAAGATAAAAGTCAGTATTCAACACCATTTATCCCTCTAACACATGCTTAATTACTTTAAAATTTGGTGATTTAATATTAACACAGTACACTTTTAAAATATTAAACCAAAACAATAATACTGCCAACATCACTATACAAGTTCTTTGATCCTACATACCTGCGGCGAGGAGGAGGACTTCTCCTGCGGTAGTCATCTCGAGGACGTCTACTCCATGAAGGAGGTGGACCACGGTTCCGACTACGTTTTTCACCATTGGACAGCTCCACCCTGACACGACACCCACAAAGTGTTCTGAGAGATAAGATTGTGATTGTTAATGCCAGTATCCAACCCAGACCAAACATTCCAACAATCTTTGGAAACCACCTCTGTATTTATGCATTGAAGATTACCAGTCATACAGCCTCATAATCCAATGTAATGGCTGTGCTTTGCTGAAACAGAACTTGAAAGGAAACCAAGTCTTGTCAGGTAGTAGCTAGCTCTTAAAAGGTTAAGAATGCTTCCTAGTTTTCATTTTTAAGGTTCCCTAAAAAGGTTTTTTCAACAGATGTCTCTGTAATATGATAGTTATTTGCTTACACACTGAACATTAGCCCTCTGAAAGATTACAGTAATTAAATGTTTTGAGACTAAATCAGAAGCTATGAAGCGATCATTTCATTTATAGCATGTAAAAAGTTGTTTTTAAAAGAAATCCTCCATATACAAAAAATTTTTGCATAGGTTTGGGATTCTAGTAGTATATGATTTACTTGCCCTTGTATGAAAGTCAGTTTCATTTCTCTGAGTACCTTCACACATGTAATGGAAACTATAGATGTAAATTCTTTTTGGCATTACTAGTACAGTCAGGTAGTGCAGAACTACTACAGTCCCTGATCAGAGTGTCCACACACAAGCTCAACCAGAATGTTAATGAACTTTACCTCCCATCTAGTTCTCTCACTGCATCAGCAGCATCACGTGGGTCTTCAAATTCAACAAAAGCAAAACCAGGGGGGTTTCTAGCAACCCATACACTACGCAGTGGTCCATAGTAGCCAAAAGCTCGTTCCAATTCAGTTTTGTTGCCATTGTTCCCAAGGTTACCTACATAAACCTTGCAGTCCAGTGGACAGGAATCACGATGCATCTCTGAAAAACATCCAAAAAAAGAAAATTGTCTTCTGCCCACAACTGGAAGTGTACCTATAAAACATACTATGAAAACAGTGAAAACTCTGAAAGTTCTTAAAAATTGTAACAACTCCGCAGTCCACAATTCAGATGCTGCAAACCCACTGTGGCTTACTAACTGCATGCTTAAGAACTATCTTTCGATGGTTCCGTCTGTGTACCGAGATCAATTATCTTCGATTTGGAACAAACCAAAACGAAAAGCCTCTGAGGGATGGCAACTATAGAAATTTTTCCTTTCAATGACTTTTAAGAGTTTAGGGTTTTTAAGACGAGGGCCATTGAGCTTCAAAGGGTGTTAATTTTCAGATACCCAAGGCAGAATTCTCACCATGCCGTCCGGAGTTGGGCCTCGGGTTCACCCACGAGGTACCTTAAGGCTTGTAAATACGCCAGTTGGCGATACGCCTTCACAGCCGTTCCCGCCCAAGTGTCCGTCGACCCTCACAGCTCCCCCTCCCTCGCCTCAAGTCTGGGCATACAACAACAGTGCCCAGTCCGCGCTTATTCCCTCTCATCCACGGGACCATCATCCCGGCAGCAGAAACCCTAACGTTACTACGACCATACAAAATGGCGGCGGCTCTTTGTCCGCTGTCTCAACCGCGAGGCCTTCCATCCCCACCCAGTTCCACCCTCACCGGCTTCCGGGCCAGGAGCGCGAAGGACTCTCGAGAACTAATACTACACGTTCTCCTTCGCCGCCTCCTTTCTTTCGCCCCTCAGCCACCTCAACTCGATCGGTAACTCCCGTTTTCCCGCCAAGACTCGATTCCGGCGTACTCCTCACTTCTTCGCACTGGACAAAATGGCGGATTGTACTAACACGCCCTGAGTTTATATACGTCCTGCCCACAATGGCACGTGATCAGGATTTCCACCAATTACAAATCTCTTCTCTGGTGATCGACATGCCTGTGCCCTTACCATTTTCCAAGCGCGCACCTCCGCCTAAATCCGCCGCTCATTTACTATCTTATTCACAAACGTCTGCTCCTATTATTCTGCAGGCGGGTCATACTCACCATAGCAACCACAGAACGGAGGCATAAAAGAATGTAGAGGCTCGGTAGGGCAGGTCGTACCTTAGGAAAACACTGGAAGAGGTCGGAGTTTTGACGGAAGTGTGCTGCTCACAGAATGTTCTTCTAACACCTAGAAGCCGGCGAGACTTCATTCCATCCGTGACAACACCCGTTCTATCTTCCGAGTTTACTAACTCCATCTGTAGCATGTAAAAATAACCCCAGATAATCTTGTTCCGTAACGGATCTTATATTCAAGGCTCGGTGCAACTTGAACCAGAACCCAGCGTACATGCGAAGGGGGGTGGGGGGGAGAAGAAGCTTTAAAGAGAAATGCCGTAGTTTTAGGTATCCTTACCAAGGAGTGCCCTTCCAAACCCTAACTTTTGGATAACCTTATCATTTTATTATTTATCTACTGGATTGCTAGACTGCATTTCTCAGACCAATCAAGGCGATTTACAAAAAGTTCAAAATATTAAAACTATAATCAAGTGTTAAAGCATAATAAAATATTAAAAGGAAGGCTTGGGCAGCAGTCTGGCTATTCAATGGTGCATAAATGCATGCTCAGAAAAGTTTATTGCTTCTCATGTTTTCAGTCAGCAGTAGAGTCAGGCAATTTTAGAATCTGAATTTATTTATAAAATTTGTATGCCATCCAATTACTTGTGTCTCTGGATGGCTTACAACATACATTTAATGGACCTGTGCTGTAACTATTTGTGGAAGTGAACATTATTTATTTTAAAATGGCAACACCCAGTAAGATTTGAGTGACCTAGTACTAATTCTGCTTAGTTGGTGTCTAGAACGTTGCTATACATCCTATGAAATTAGTAATGTCAGGATTCAAGCCAGATTGAAAATGATTCCTGCTGTTCTATAGGCTAAAAAATATTTTCACTGGTCATGATTGTGCCTAACATATTATCATTTAAGTGCTGATTCACTGAAGCATGCAGACCTACACAGCTATTCATTACTAGATCATGTTGAATTCTATGGAACTTATTCCCAGGTTTGGATTGCAGCCTGAGGGAGCCATCCAGCATGGATGTCTTTAACCCTCCAAAATTGGAGGATTATGGACATCCAGCTGACTCTGGGAAGTGTTCAGAAGCAAGAATTCTTCTACCTTGCAAAAAATATAAGATAGCCAATTTTAACTTAAGCCTTTTGCTCCTGCTGACAAGCAGGAGAGGTCCTTGCACCCTGGCAGAGTCTCATTCCACCTCTCCCTGCCTCCTTCCCCATCCCACCCCAATGCCAGCTGCAGCTGCGACTTTGGAACTGTAGCTGGTGCGGAAAGAACCATGCTGACTGCAAAGATAGAAGGAGAATTCTTGTGGTCAGGGTTGAAGCTGGGACTCCAGCCTATGCTACGGTCATTTAGACAGTGTTTAGCAGTTACAGGATTGTACCATAAGGCTTTAAATAATGAAGAAAAGCAAACAAAGATAACAATCATGCGAGTTCACATTCTACATAGGACAACAGGCCAGTCTCCGTGCAAAAGAACAGATGGTCACATTTTTTTCATTACAAAGAGCAATATGCAAAAATCAGTGAAGGGACATTTTAAAAAACCAAGATGTTCATGTCACTGATCCCAATGTGGCCATTCTTGAACAAGAAATGTAAAAACTCTAGCTCAGTGTTAAATGGCTATCCTACAATTCATGGACAGGTTCAACCCTTAACTGCTCTAGCTTGAAATGGAAAAAAAAAGCTTTTTTATCATTTAAAAAACCCTAGCTCTCCAGTGCATGGATGCTATGTCTGGAAAAATGTGCCAGGGTTCTGTCAACCCCCCCACCCCCTTTAAAGGGAATGTATATCCAGTTTTGACATCTAGCTGTCAAAACTCCCCAAGAAAAAAGGGAGTGGAGTATACTTATGCACTTTCTCAAGCACTTGGGCTCTTTGGGAAAAGGCAAAATATGAATCACCCTGAGAACTGTCAGAGTGAAGAAAAAGGAGGACCTTGCCATGAAGGGTGAAGTGAACAGAAGTAGTGTTGGACAAGGCCTATAAGACCTACACGTCCATCCCCTGCTTCACTGCACATGTGGTCACCCATGCTAACTTGCTATACAGCTATGCAGGCAGGCTGTACATCTTTTTGTAAGCAAAGATCATTCAGGCACTTGCTTTCTCCTGACAGCTTGCATTCTGATAGCTATAAAGAAAAACCAAAAGGTGGGGGAGTCTATCTGGATCATCACTGCGGCAAAGACCAGGCTAAGTACCCCCAGGTCTTTGCCCAAGCCAGGGCTTTAGATTTCTACACTTGTGAACAGCCAAAATGCTTTTTTAAATCCTCAAGTCTGTTTGTGCGGGCACACACACACGCACGTACATGCTCTACCAGCCACTGACAGCCTCTCTAAGGTGCTAAAGAAGCTGTCAGCTGCTGTACCAAAATTGGGGTCACAAAAGCCATCCGCCAAGCTGGCTTTTGCAATCGCTGATAAAAAGGATCAAGAGGGGAAAAGCCATAACAAGCCAAAAACAGTTCAGTTGTGTTGGAGAGGGAGGGCAGTCAGTCTTGCAGTGCTCTTCCCTGGGACACCATTACAAGGACCAAAGGGGGAGATGGAGGAAGGAGAAGAACCAATAGTGATCCTAATTGTATTTTGGGTGCACTGGGTTGTCTGCATAACAACCAGCTCACCATGGTTTATTGTTAAGGAGGGTTGGTGTGATGTGCAAACATGACCAATAACTGTTTGTAAATGGCCACAGTGCAGGTAACTATCACTATCTATATTTTATTTTCTTCTGACCTCACTTTCTGTATTTCTCCCCTCCTCTCCCCTTGCATGTAACTCACTGATACATACTTAGGTAGTTATAATTCAGGATAACACTTCATGCATCTGTTGAAGTAAACTGTAGTCCAGAAAAGCTTATGCCAATATAAATTTATTTTTCTTTAAGGTGGCACAGGACTGCTTTGTTTCTGCTGCAATAGACTAATGTGGTTTCCTCTCTTTTTAATTTATTATAATATATACAAATACAGTCACATGATTGATACCCACAATAATATAAGTAAGATAAGCAGTAGTTAAGTAGCTTGTTCTATGCTATTAAAACCTACTAGGCCAGAAATCAAGGTGATCAACTGATCGACTCCATCAAACCCTCAGAAATACATCAAGAATAGACACTAGATTTTAACAAAATCTTCTCTCTCTCCCCACTAGCCAAACAAAATCAGGTGGTACCTAGCATTATCTAGGGAAACTGACATCAGAGAGAAGAGACCATTACCCAGAGCCCATCAATGTCTCTTCCCCCTTCAAGGAAAAAATAAGCAAGCATCATTTTGCTTTTCAGTTGACAACTGTCAAATGTGCACAAACCAACTTATAACCTTGCTTGGCCAATGTCCAAGGATGGTGCCTACTGCATTTTGAGAACAGACAGCAGGAACTGACCAGGAAAGGCTCTGTGGCTTAGGCAGCTGTAGATACGCACCTGCAAAAGACAAAAACAAATTTAAAAACAAAATAAATGAAATTGCACATATCTGTGCCACCCCTCCCCCAAATGGGTAAGGAGCCACTACTTGGGCTTCAATGGAGCTGTTGCCACTGGCAATGGCATGGGCAAGATTGTCAGACTGACAAGGGTTTTTTGCTTCTCCTGCCAACAGCTTGCTCATCATTTCCCACAATCCATGATAGGATCAGTCTCCTGCAGTCAGATGACATGGCAACCCAGCTTGGTTTCCACAACCCCTAGAACAAGCCATAGGTTGTCAGGGTGGCCTGTTGCTGCAAACCAAGCCACCTGCAAGAAGTTGTCTGGGTATGTAGTTACTTTTAGCCACAAGAATGTTGCTGTGTCATACAAAGCTCTTGTCTTGGATTAGATGGACCATTCTCGGCCTCACAACAAGGACTCTTGTTGTGAGGGTAAGACTGAAACAAGGAGGAAAATTACATAAAGAAAGTAAAAGGAAAGAAAAAAGTTGGGACATAATTCTCTGACTTACAGGATATGGTGGCCATTGTACCTGTGCAGTGGTAGTGTATCTCTGCCTCCCTTTCCCCATGTCATTGGAACATCCATCTCCCATTGCGTAATTCATGGCTGGGGAGTATGTGGCTGACTGGATTTTGTTGGAGTTCTCACAAGTACTAGCCAGAATAATGCAGGATGATGGGAGCTTCAGTCCAGCAACATCTGGAGTGCCACATGTTCCTCACCTCTGGCTTGATGGGACCTCTTCCAGCTTCCAGTATTAAAATTCCATCAGCTATTAGCAAATGGTAAACCCTTTCAACAATAAAATTGTTCACATCACTCAGATCTAAATTCTGCTATTTCACCATTGCTGAATTTTTAATATAAGTATTTCCACACTGTGGTATGCCTGCTACTGATTGTATCTGGCAAAATGCAGCAGGCGAACCTGATTGCCTCTGTTCCCTTAGCGCAGAATATATTTTAAGTTTCACATGCATAGGACACTGCTGGCTCTTGCCACCTAGTGGCAGTCAAGGAAACCTGTTTGCCTTTCTGGAGATGAAGCAAAGAGTTTCCTATCTGCTCCCACTATTTGCATAAGCCCATCT